GGACAGGGCCTCAGCTCAGTTTTAGAACTCTTGCAAATAGAAAAATGCAGTTCTCAAACAATTTTCTTTTAATTTGAATAATGTTTTGTGATCAGGTATTTACATTTAGATAGTTTCCTTTCTTAACCACAGTTGCAAATTATGAAGGGTTATTGATTGATTGATTGATTCTTGCTGTGGGTCATGAGGGGTTGTGGGATGATGGTTCTTCAAAACTGATTTTCATAAATGTGTGCTATTTCAGACTAATACATGACTCAGTTAAATGGAAAGTTCTGCCATCTAGGTTGACAGTTAACTGCATCTTATATGTGGGATAGACTCATGATAATGCCATTTGTGTGGAAGTTAACTTATAAGACTTGTGGAATATAGAGAAACAAAACAAAGGGTTAGACAAAGACAGACTTTAAAACCAACCCTTGAAAACTGACCATAGATCTGATAGATCTGAGGCATTTTGCAGGGGTGTGTGTGTGTTGGCGGGGGGACGGAGTTAAGAAAGCAGGGAGAGCATGGTGAACTATTGTGAGGGACTTCGGGTGCTTTGGTAACAAGCCATGGTGACCAAGCCTGAAGGGAGAAATCCTATACAATGAAAATATTACTAAGGATATAAAACAATAGTACTTTATTAAAATAAGAAAAAAAAAAGAAAATCCATACTTCAACTTTAAAACTCAGTACATCATAGGTAAAAGGTCTACATATACTCCCATTTTAATTTTTTTTTTTTTAAAGATTTATTTATTTGTGCATACAGAACTGGGGTACAGGCCAGAGCCTCAGGGGCAGTGAGAGGCTTCACCAGAGACAGAGCGGGGAACAGAACAGGCAGATCAACGAAGTACACTGCTGAGGGGAGCAGCGGGCGGGCCAGGAGAGGTCTGCCACGCCATGTGGTCACCTCCGGGGCAGGCGGGAATCGAACTCATGCGGAAGCGGCTCCAGATTCTCAGTGCTGCGCTTCAACCCGCTGCGCCACCAGGGAGGGCCCCATTTTAATTTTAACAAAACATAATTCCTCTAAATGGACATCAATATTTTTGGGGGGGAAATGGATAGGAATTCTGTAATATATGAACTGCTTAAAGAAGTGTGGAGTGGAACTTTAGAGAACACAGAGCATCCCACTCTTGCTTGTGTACTCATCAGACATGACCTCCCAAGGGGCACTGCTAAGCCATTTAGCTAAGATACTGGCATCTTAGCTTTGGTCCATAGGGCCGGGGCAGGGCAGCAGAGGGAAGTTGTGTTCCAGCAGTGCTGGTGGTAGGGGTTGAAGTTCTTCTGAACTGACCTAGCAGACAAGGCATGGACCTGGGAATTCTGCAGTTCTCTAGCTGTATAATTAAGTTACTTAATCTCTGTGCATTTGATATTTCATTGATGTAACATGGCATTATGTACTGATTAGGTTACCATGTGGATGAAAGACAATGTGGAAAATAGTTCACGGAGTATTTGGTGCTGGGAATCAACATGCATTGGTTATATCATCAATTTTGTGAGTGAGGAGATGGACTGAGAATGGGTGGAAAGGCTGATTAAGTCCAGGATAAGGTGGAGGACCCCAACATCCTTGAGTAGCCTCATGGGAACTGGCTCCCCTCTGGAGCCAGCCTCTTCCCCAAGGGATTTGGAATGGTTTACAACTTGGAGCAGCAGGGTAAGGAATGATCTGTGAGAAGTCAGTGCACAGTAGAGTTCAGTCTCCAACACTGAAAATTTGCCAACTTTCACCCACACTGTGGAGATGAGAAAGCAGCTGTGGGCAGACTGTAGAGTAAAAGCCGAGGGGTCGGCTCCATTACGCTACAGATGTTCCATTGTTCACCCTGGGATTTTGTAGTTTGGTTTACCCAGTTACATTTCCAGGATGTAGAGAGGATGCAGCCGTACGTTTTGTATAGTTTTTCCACTTTGTTTTGATTTATTATTTGTTGTTTACAGGCTTATCTAGTAACAACAATGGGACTTACTTCCCTATAATTTGGCCTGTGTCCATTTAATTTCCTTAGACGGAAACCTTCAGGGGACACTGTTTGTTAATTTCCTCGCATGGATGTGTCAGTGTCATTTATTAGCATGTCCACTCAGGAGAAGAACTTTGTTCATTAGTCATAAAGGTTCTGGCTCCTGGTTCCCAGCAGGAGTGTATGTGTCTGTGTACCACACAGTGGTTTTGGTCAGCAGCTTTGCAGCCAGCCATCTCTGAGAGCAGATGGCTTGCTCTCCACAGCTTACAGATGGAGCACACGATGCAGAGAAGTAACTCAGCTACACTAGACAGTTTTCACAAATTCTCTGACTTGTCACCCCTCATGATTTCCATTTGAGCAATGGATTATGTGAGCCTAAGACATGCTTAAAATCTATGAAGAAATTACCATGAATACTAGTCTGTAGTTAACTAATGAACAAATCACATTGTGCAGTATCAGCTTTTGGGAGTGTGATGAATGTTAACTTTGACTCCTTTTTAAAATTAATTTTTAATTTTCTTACATCAGTGTTCACTTTTATACAATATTATTTCTCCCTTGGTGTAGTCCCATAATTTTTATACCACCCCAGAGCCCTTGAACCATCAGCAGAGTCCCTTGCATGCTTTCCTCCCCTATTTTGACCCTCTCCCTCCCCTTCTCCTGCCCTATGCTTCCTATCTATGGCCTGGCTGCAAATTTTGTCTTTTTCCTCACCCTTTGTTTGATTTCTTTATATTTCACATGTAAGTGAAACCATCCAATATTTTTCTTTTTCCTTCTGACTTATTTTGCTAGCATAATCCCTTCCAACTCCATCCCTGTTGCTGATGACGTGAGTTTACCTTTTTGGTTGCTGAGTAGTGTATATATATCACTTTGCA